ACAGGATTATGGGTTTTTAATTGCAACTGACATGTTTCTTGTTGCAATATACAACTCTAATGAAATATAACAACATTACAACCTTCGTATACAGTTCACCCTTGGTTTAGGGTAGGCTCCGTGCCCCTCGGTGGGGACGTATAGTGAGCTGATGATGATGATACAGTTCTTACTATGGGTTTCTGAGACTAAAGTCAGCCTGTAAAATATATTGTTATCTTGTTGTAAGATAATCACAGGGATATCGATATGTTTTATACAGAGATATTGGTATTAGAGACCAGCGGCTAGTCGATTTATATAGTACTTAAATTATAAAAAAAAAGAAAAGAGAAATCGTTCAGATTATTAGTCAAGTATTAAAGAGGACGGTGTTAAGAGTATCCAAGTCAATGAGATATATGAATGTGGTAAAAGTAAACGAACTCTTACTACCCCTCTGTACTACAGACTTGACTTGTGTTGTTGTTAAATCATACATATATACTAAGATAAATAAAAAATAGTATTGTTTTTCGTAGACACAATTCTATCTGACACATGACATATAAAACTTCGTACACAAACAAGTATTTATGATAGGTAAGTGGCTGTTAAGTATTACGGCACTGTCAGTTGCGGTGGCATCACGCTAACCAATTGTGCAAAGTGGGTCAGCAGGGCGCCGTCGCCCGCGCGCTCGGCTCACCGGCCCCGGCTCAAATAAATAGCCGGTGACAATAATTTGTCGTGGAAAATATGGGATAAAATGTCTTACATACATTTACGTAATTCTAAAGTTGTTTATCTAAGCCTCGTCTGTGATTTTTGTTAATGAACTATAATTCCTAAACAAGGGAAAACTTAAACGTATTTGCGATACTCTATAGAAGAAAATAATTAGCGACTTTTCCAAAAGACTTTTAAAATGTAATATATCATTTGTTTTTATTCTTAGCACTAAATCGTTTTCAAATTAACAAATAGTGCACATGAAACATTTGAACACTTTTCAAACTTGCTTTTAATCTGTATAATTAAAAGCAACTAGTTTATATTTGAACTTGAATATTTAAAAATGTCGTTGCTAGAGAGTAAATACCAGTTGAAACTGGTTTTCGTTTTTTTTTCCAATACTATCCGTGAATTACGTAACACCTGGTCATATGAGCTTTTAGCGAAAATGTCAGGTTATTGCAAATTATGTAATAAGCGCATATTATGTGCATTATCATAATGCGGCGATTTAATAAAGATGCTGCCTTCATCGAACACATCTGGACATTTGAATTAGTCTTATAAATTATAGAAATCGCAAATTATATGTTAATTTAAATATGTAGGTCAATATGTATCTGTATTATTTGAAAGATCAACGACTAATTTTATATTAAGGAAGTTGTAAATCAAATAATAAACAGATATTATATCATTCTTAACCAAATGAAGCGTGACTAGTGTTTTATATTTTTTTTATTAAAAACTAAAAGTTTGAATTTAGCCTTTATCTTACTAGTCTTACTAATGTTATCTTACTTCTTACTAATTTTATAAATGCAAAAGTTTAGATAGTCAGATAGTTGGATGTTTGTTTGAAGGTATCTCGGACGGAGTCACGTGCGACAAATAGTGTTATTAGACCTCAATACTTATTAACAATTACGGATGTAAAACATAGTGCTTATGAGATCTAAATTTGTAATAAAAAGTGAGTGAATTCCGTTATTGGTGTAACATCCGATAGCTCAAGCGCTCACGACTTAATGTTGACACAGTGAGCGCGGAAAGCGATAAGCTGAAACACTAACTAATGTATTAAAGCTCTATAACCTTCATCTCTCACAAATGTTCTTATTCCACTGACTAAATCTCTAAAATCGTTACTGGATCTAGGAAATAGATAAATACGTAGACACTAACCTTTATCCGCGACTCTAAAAAAAGGAAACCAGATAAAAAGTATCCTATGTCTGTCGCCTGGTTCGAAGCTACCTCCCCAATAATTTTCAGGCAAATGGGTTCAGATGTTTCAGTGTCATAATGTTACTAACACGACTTTCTTTTATGCATTCATAAAAAAAATGTATGTGTAGATTTTCAAATTGCTTCAAAACAAGCGACACATGTTAGTCAATTCTTACCGCTGTTTGTCCGCTCGTGCGCTATATCGTAACCCTTATTGTTTCTGCGATACCAAGTGTCTTTTGTTTGCGCGAGTGTTGTAACGAGAGGCGGTTAGGTAACAGCCCGCTACAGAACTCTGACGAGACGAGCTTCCGGTAATGAACAGCTGACTGTATTAATAGATATATACAGTTTGACTAAGTACCTATTAATAATTTTAGACTAACTTTTAGTTAGTCTAAACTTTTAGAACTTTAGAATTAAATTGTTAAGTGTTGTCGCACTCAGGCACCGTCTTAGTGTAGATTTATACTGCAATTACACTAAAGGGGTAAACTTACGACTTTGAGTGCGGCAGTTGAAGTACGATATTCCTCATTGGGGTAGTTCTTTAGGATAGCATGCATTAAATACGTATGTATGTCTTAAACCACAACGTCCGGGTCACATTTGGTTTGTCGCGACGCAACCTTGTCGCCCGTCCCCCGCCGCCCGCTGCGCGACACCCAAGGCCGGCTAGTTACTCGATAGTTTCGCACAGACTTACGAAGTTTTAGAATGGACAGCATTAAAAATATAACTAAATTAGGTATGTTGAATGGAAATCCTTGATCTTTCCCTGAAATTCCTTGTTACGGACTTGATGTATAAATAACCAAAGCATCAATTTCGTGTTCTTTGTTCTTCACACACGAAACTTCCGCAACATTCAATCGCGCTTTCGCAGAATACTAACAAAGTCAACAGTATAAATACCACGAATTAACTTCAGTAAAATCATACAAACAAAATAACTTCGCTATAAAAGCGTTCGTATTTTTTTAATACAACTTCTGACGACAAGTGAATGAAAATTTATTGCATTTATTAAAATTCTACTTAATATAAGAAATTGGAAAAATTTATAAGCACTCTTTTTAGTGTTACGCAAAACATTGTATCGTTTCTTTGTAATATTTATAAAGTGTAGGAATTGTTCTGGCAGTGAGCAATATTTTTCTTTTTATATTTTTTACTAACATTAAAGCTGCTACATAAAAAATGATTTTGTTGTTTACTTATTCGAATTTTAATAAAGTAAATAACAAATAAAAATTAAATGGTATTATATTATCTGTGGTATAAATAAACTTATTATGTAAAGGTACTGTGCAGTAAATTCTTAAGTCTACATACTCGGGAAGGTCTTAAGAACGCAAGCCAAGTCAAGCCGCCGCCTTTCGATTCTGCCCGTGCTGACATTTCACACAAAATAAAATAAAATCTAGAAACATCTACTGCCTATTTCTACATCATCATATCTTTTTATACATAATGTCTACATGTATCGGATTAATGACTAAATTATTGTACAAAATTCTGTGATAAGTTTGTAAAAGTAGTTAAATATTAAAATAACTATTGAAGGTTTTCGATTAATTTTACTCTTTGTTCGGGGCATAGACAAAGTTTAGCTTTCTTTTTTTTAAGATCACTTTTTTAACTCTAAACTCATCTAGTGGTTAGTATTAGCCTAGAGGCTTATATCAAATTATACGTGTTTTTAATTATTATTATATTACTTATTTGATTAATGCATTTTAAGGTCAAAATGCATCTTTTGAACTTTAACTGTTTGTTGTGTTGTGTTTCTTTCAGTGGTAACTAATGATAGTTCCAATTTAATTAATTCAATGTTTTTTTCGACCTTTGACATAGATCATGTAATTTGAATCTACTCAAGCAAGTGTTTTAAAAGCACAGTTTTTTTTCCTCTCACTGGAAATCAAACTGATGGTTCGAAAAATATACTATTTAGCATATCAATGGCCTTTCCATGCACATTATATATTATATACAACAGTAGAAGCCTATCTTTTACATTCGAATGTCTGTTTTGAATAAAATGCCAATAAACTACCATATAGCTATAGATACATAACACTGTGCTTTTTTACGAATGGAATAATTTTTGGCAACTTTTTTCATACTTTCTATAATGTATCGAATGTTGCCTTTTGAAAAATGCTTTTAAGGAAAGCTCAGATAATTAATTTTAAAAAAGGTTTTAATAAGTCCATATCCTCTCAATCATTTTGTACATAGCATTTTAAGTTATAAGTAGATATTTCCACCATACTTTTTAGATATTTTTTAATTTTGTACATGTACAATTGTACATGTACAAAACAAGCAAAAGCTTTGTCAGCTATTAACTAATTATTAAATAAAAATATGTAGTTTTTTGACATTTCTTTTTTTCAAATTTACTGTGTCTTAATCTTTACTGTTTACAATTCGTTATATTTAAACGTTGACCATCATGTGTCGGTGTGGCCGGTAAAGGTCGGCGTTACGTCGCGGGGGTCAAGCAGACAGGCGCTTTTACATTTTATTGCCTATTTTATTTATAGTATATTACCAGTTTTGTAAGCGATTACTATTTGAAATATGTTCTAAGCTACACAATAAGAAAAATGTCGACAGCTGTTCATAAAAAACATTCAGTGTAGTTCAGGAATACTAGAAACAGATAGGTATGTAAAATATCAACAAAGCAAATGTTACAAATTGCGTAGGCGAGCAAGTTTATTAAAGGTAATTGTCGAAGTTATATTTGTATTCCACACAACTAAGACAAGTATCTTATCTTTCATTCAATAAATATTGTCCGTGTATTTATTAAATTAAAACATTCCTGTAAATGTAACTAAAACTATCAAATACGTGTACAAGTAATTAATTTTGTGTCGAGTTTTTGTCTGATACAGAATGATAAGAACATTATTTGTTGCATCTGATCTTTATTTAAGTCTGAATACGTTATATTAGTATCATATTTACTCTCTCTGAGTATTATTTAACAAATGCATGTTACATATTTTTATTAAATACTAGAAATAAAGTAATAAACTCACCCGACTGGTCCGTTGTGATAATTTGAAATAAGTTTAACACTCAATAAGTTCCACAATGTTCACAGTAACACTTCACATCGCTGTCTGCCTACACTATCCAAAGTAGTAGTCGTAATAGTAGAACAGTATGTATATAGCCACAGCGTACAGCAAAAACTTTAAATATAAATACACAAAGTCTTTTATAAAACTCCAAAATATTAGCCCGATGCCGTTTTGTTTCTGTTGGATATCTTGCATCTACGTCTGTTGAGATCGTTGACCTTCGTCTGGAAGAGATTTTATTAAACATTTATTTAGTTTCTTTATAACACTAAAATTTGACATTTAAATATCGTGTTTAGTTGATTATTTTCAATATCCAATGAAACCTTTATCCTTAACTTTGTATTTTATTAGCGTTTTATTACAAAAAGAGCTTAGTTTACGTCACACAAGTGACTTGACTACCTGGGTTGCGGGACGATTTGGCCAATTCAAATAAGATTAAAGTTTGACACAAATAAAAATAAAGTTAGGGGAAAAATATTAAACATTAAGTTTATAATATTGTGAAACGTGATGTCTTCGCCTCATTTTTGGTAACACTGCAGTTTTCAACTTAAACTTATAATTTTCGAATTCGGATCGGATCAGATTACAAACTTTTTCTGATATAATAAGATATACAGATGGAAAATCACATAGAGTTGGTAGCTAATATCATACAAAATAGTAAAAAATAATTTTCGAAATGTTTTTTGAATTCTTAAAGTTTCGCGTATACAGGGATATCCTATTGACCTATTGTGTACAAAAACTTGGTCTAAATCTAGAAATACGTACAGTAAGCTTTACTATAAAATTAGAGGCAACAAATTCATATTAAATGTACTTGTATCCTGAGTGAATAGAAATCGTATTTGCTCAAGGATCGATTCTCGCTCGAGTTGTGTAATAAATTCATTATACAGCGGATAGCTTGTATTAAACCGCTTGCCTGTTTTATATTGTGTACATTCATGTTTCCATTTTTATCTGCAAAGTTTTAAATGTACAAAACTTAATTAATTACAATCAATAAATTTAGACAAAATTTTATATTTCCTCGTTCCAAGTGACGCCATCTATATTTACAAAATTAAAAAGAAACATTCACATATTGAACAAAAAAAGCTATAGAAACTTTTAAATATTATAATTACAATATCACGACGTTATGGATTAAACAAGATAGCCAGAAATGATAAGATCTAATTAGAACTCTTGCAGTCTTCATTATTGAATTAATAAAAATATTTTAAAATTATATAACAAAATTAATATAAAGTTAGTGAAATAAATAAAATAGGACGGATGTGTAGAGCTTACTGCAAAGGTCAAATTAACATTTTATCCTATGAATTGTACAAGAACTGTAATATAATTAAAACGGTTCATGAAAATTTATACTTGCTTCTTGTTACAATAAAAAAAAAAATATTTGTGACAAAAAAATAAAATTTTTCCATAAAGCAATTTTAAATATTAATAAATCACAATAAATTAAGAATATCAAACCTTAACACATTAAACTATTAGAAAAAACAACAACTAAAATAACCACGTAGAAATAATAATTAAGATACCTAATGTAAATACAAGTCCTAGAACTAGAGTCCCCGATTGTCCTGAGTAGTAAATTTCACTGGCACCAGGGAGCACTAAACTGAGGCACTTTCGATAGGTCCCCTGCGCCGGCGCACACTAGCGCCGTCTCCGCATCACCCCCCTCCCCCCACTGGGCGAGTGATCTGGGGAGGGGGGCAGTGGTAGGGTGGCCATGATGCAATGCAGCCTTCGACACACAGATGTCGTTTGAAATAGAATGCTTGCTTAAACTGTTTGATTTGTTGAAGTATGTGTACCTACATAATTAAGTGTACACAAACTTGTGGCCAAATGTGGCATTTTTGTACTTTAGTAACACATTTTAAAGTTTTTTTAATGGGTATTCACATTATTGAGATAAATATCACTTATGTTCAACTACGAATAGAAAAATCTTGATAAAATTTCGTTTGTATCTGTTAAGTTCCTTTTGATTTGTTCACTATATTACTTTTGTCGTCTTCAATTGCGGTAACATGTTTCAAATACAAATTAAAATTAGAATACTAGCAAGAAAGTTACATATTACAAAGACATCTTACTCTGGTTTGTAATGAATGAACAACTCATGTATACTATTTTATATAATTGGGCTGTAATGGTCGCCCTAGTCGGTCGCGTGTTGCGCGGTCGGCGTTCGACTCTTGCGCAGCTCATGCAGGACACCCACACCACAACACAACGCACCACTGCAACTGCAATATTGCTTTCTTCTCCAAACGAAAACTGCACTAACTAAATCCTTTATACTAATTAATAGAAGTTATACTTCAAACTAAAAGTAATATATTTGAACTACATATGTTTTGAAATTGTTCAAAGACTTTTTATAAAAGGCAAATGATAATCATATTGATATGCACTGTGATTAATCGTAAAATAGACGCAAATACAATGTTATGATTCGACTAACTTCCTTAACACGTTAAGTATCACGAACTCGTGGCACGAACTCTCAGGCTGTTGTATTTTCATATGAAAAAAGTTGTGGCATTCGACGTGTTAACAAACCCTTAAATTGATAAATTAACTAAAAAATTTCAACATCTATTTTAGATTTAAGAACTACATAATGTGTCGTCAAACTATTTGATAGAGTCAACTCTATTTAATTAAGTTTATCCATTTCACACAAATGATATGTACACGTCGTAAATATAAATATCCGTAAAGAGACGACTCATGACTGATGACATGAACAGTTTGTTGTAAAAACATTATAAATGATACACAAACAGACGCACTAACAATACAGACAAATATAAATTTCTTAAACAGACGGAAATATCAACAAATAATATAATATTTATATTGTGTTTAATGCACTGCACTCACATTAAAATAAACTGCTATTAATATAAATAATCTTACGTAGGAAAAACGCGCAAGCAGAACATGTGTAAAAACATGTACTTTACACTAGCTCTCACCCGCGACTCCGTCCGAGCGTAATTAAAAAAAAACATACTAATTAGCCTATGTGTTCTTCCACACTATTTTCTATCTACATCTACGCCAAGTTTCAGCAAGATCCATTCAATCGTTTATATGGGAAAAAGAAAAGGGCTGTTTTTAGGGGGTTTTTCGGCAATTATTCTAATTTTTTATATATATAAGAAGATAAGATAAGATTTAACTTTATAAATTAATATGAATTAGTTCCGTGTCTAAACTTAAACGTAGATAATGATGATAGAAAGTTTTTTTTTTAAATATCCGCGAACGCTGAGGTTAATTGATAAAGTCTATAACGCTTTTGATAATTTCTGAGAAATTAAATCAAAGTGTGAAGACAAGAATTTGCTGCTATTAGATAGGGGCCTTACCTGCATCAAAATTTTGTATTTAAACTTATAAACAGTTTGAAAATGTTTTCCCATTTATCTGATATTCAAATCAAAGTATTTTACATACTATACCCCTCAGAGTAACGAGGATTTTGGTGTCCTTACGTCACATACTAAACAACAGCTTTTACTAGTAGATAGGAATAATACTAATTCGAGGGAAGTTAAATTTCAAGTTAGTTAACACTTGCATATATGCGAGTTAACGTGAACAAGCACTAAAATCTTACTAATATTATAAAAGCAAATGTTTGCACAGCTGCATGGATCTCAATGAAATTTGGTTATATTTAGAACATACAATGAAAGATCACATTAATAGTAGCTAGTAATTAAGTTCTGTTTGAATTCCGTGCCGACAGAAACACATGCGACAGCTAGTACTTAATATTTAACGTTTCCAAGTGTTCCAACATAAGTATTTTCAGAAAGTTCCTGTTGGCATATCGGTGTACGTGACTAAACATAATTATCGAATACAATACAGAGTAAAAAAAATAATTGGAAGTTGGTAGCGATTATATGTCAAGGAAATTGACCGAGGAAGGAAATAAGTTGTGCATACAACGACCGCTCGAATAGGAAACACATGATTTGTGCCAACACACGCGCATACATCACGCGCAATGTATGTTAATAGGTCAGGCCTGGGTACACAAACGAATTTCATTTCTTCCTATTTTTTAATAATTAAAAAAGCAAGTTTCGTTGAAATTGTGTAACATTTTATTAAAAGTAAATAGAAAACAATGACTTCAATATAAAGTACATTGAATTAATAATGTGTATGTATAAACTGGTATAGTGAGACATGTTTCATATTTCCCTACACTATAAGCAACACAAGTACACAAACATGTAACAAAGTTTGCGGTTTTAGGATAAATTATTGCATTTGTAACAGTATGCCCTAGTTAATATATTACAACATTCACTTTATTCACCTAAAAACCGGTCCAACTGTGCCTACTTTTCCTAAACCCGAGCCTTACATTACACAAAAGGCTTTGGTAAATTATTATCACTAATATTGCGTTATTTTACTCGTATTGCTATTGCAAATTGTAACTATTTTTTGTGCTAGAATATAGTCAATTTAATTCTTAGCTAAATAAAGTAAAAACTAAATAACATATACGCCCATAATGTATTATTTTTTCTTATGTTACTGACAATTATCATTGAATGCAGATTTTCTACCAAACCTTACAAAGTTTGAAGTCCGTTGTATAATTGTTTCTACACAAATCAATAATTATTATAATAATTTACAAAATATATTATAAAAAGCCAATGGAAAGCAACAAATTATATATACAGTTGCAATGGAATGAGCATAATAAAGCCTGTTTATAACTAAACGTACCCTGAGGATTTAAACTTGCCTATTGGAATAGTTAATAACTCTGCAATCAGAAATGTGTTATGATCCGAAACTACATATATACTACGAACTAAGTACTTAAATGCGTTTAAGTCTTTTTCAAGACTAAACAATTGTATAATTCTTGTAAATGAAACAATTGAACAACATATAACTGTACCTATTAATGTCCAGTAACTACAATATGCCATTTATTGGTCACTGAAAAATAAATTTATATATTATATTTTACATGAAGTGTCTTAAATTTATGAAATTAAATAAAATATTAGAAACGAAATTTTTAGTTCAATCTGAGTTAACTGATGAACGTTTTACATGATTATATAATTATTTCGTAGCTTCATTGAAACTAGTGAGCCTTGTAGAAACCTGATTTACTCACAGCACCAATTAAACCTTATCTCTA